TTGCAATAAGCCTCCTGATGTGCCCCTCACTCGAAGTGCTCCTATGCCTCCTCGCTTTATCCTCCTTGCTTGATGACACCGGAGAGGTGGGGGTCCGATGTCTGGCTTCCCTTGGGCGCTCCTCTTCCTCCTCGCTCGCGGCGGGCTCCTCCTTGACCCCCACAGACCCTCCGACCTGGTGCCACGGAAACTCTTCCCTTCCTCTTTTCGATTCCTTTCCTCCCGGACTCCTGGTGACCTCTACGCTCTCCTCACGTTTCCCCCTCGATGACCTAGACCTCTTCCTTTTCTTCTCCTTCTCCCTCTTTTCCTCTTTCTTCCTTTTCTTCTTCTCCTTCACTCTCTCCTCACCGGCCTCTTTGGCCCCAGCAGCCTCTGCCGCTGAACCTGTGTCGGAGGCCGGGGGGACTGCCAGGTCCCCCGGTCCTCCCTCAGGAGCTCGAGCTCCCGCTGGAGATGCTCCCTCGGAAGGAGCACCTCCTACCCCTCCCGTCCCAGGAGGGGTTGCTGCAGGGGGCTGGGTTGTCAACCAGTGATCCCGATCCCGAAGGTCCAGGATCTCCCCCTGCAGCAACCTCACACGCTCGAGGGCCGGCTCCAGAAAAAGTAGGAGCTAGACCCTCGGCACAGGTCCCTGACCCTGCTAAGGGTCAGGCACAAGTCGCACTGGCACACTCCTTCGGAGGAGTGGCCAGTGGCCATAACCCGCAAGCCGAAATCTGGCGGAACGCAAACCTAATTCATCTTTACATACCGGGGCGTTACATCATATATATATATATACATACACATGTATAGATGTAGGCATGCGTTTTAATCAGCTAGGTGATTCCTGCCCACCAACTACTCTTCAGGGGTTCCCTATTCCACTTGGTAGACACGTGTATGCTATATCATACCACCCCCCCCCATCCAGGGCCCACCTTTTAGTACTCACATGCTATGATTTCATTGTGTCAACAGCTGAAAGCTTTGGGGTCTTTGCCCGGATCTGAGGTGCGGTTCTGACAAAGATTCCAGAGATTCAAGGGGCGGTTCCAAGGCGTCGTGTTCGCAAAGGAAATGTTGCGCTGGCGACTTTCTGAGGCCCGTCCGCTGAAAGATCCCCTTCCCGGACTCGATCCGATTGCCTTCCCGGGTTGCCGCCGAAGACTGTGAGCGGGGGCACAATGGTGTCCGCAGGAAGGATCTCGGCAAGTGGCTATGAGTCAAGACTCGACTCGGAACCTATGCCATGCGTATCGCGTCCAACCTAGTTGTGGTGCATAGAAGGCATTGGAACATGTCGTGTTCTTTTTTGAATCGTACCTTCTCGTCCACTAACCTGGAATCCACTGGTTTGGGTGCCTTTTAGAGGAAACTGGTCTTGGACCCCTCAGTGATCTACCTTTGACTATACCGTGTACCCGAAGCCTCATGTGAGGATTCCTTTCAGAAACATCCGTGTACTCGACCCACTTCCGATTCCCGTCTCAGGTCCTCGCTGTGCCAGGAAGCACCATAGAGTTGTCCTTCGGTAACAGGTGACTCTCCCCCGGGCTGTGGTTGGCACCATTCCCTTGCCCATCAAACTTCAATCCACTTTCACCATCGAGCCTGGATAAGACTTGGCTGCTGTAACGACCCCTCCGCAATAACCAGACAGTGGGTTCCGGAACATCCGGGCGAAAGTTTCCACCAAGTCCAAAGTCCGAAGTTGGAACCCCACGAGATGTGATCCAGGGCTTTCGGAGCTCCTCCACATACCTAAACACAAGAGCCCAAGCGACGTGGGGGTGTCTTAGACTGGGGGACCCCGAAGAGTGGTGGCTTTGCTTTGGTCTCCCTTTAAAGCAACCCCAAAAGAGGGCACCCTCAAAAAAAGCAGACCCAAGTTCGAGCTAGGCAATGCTCCCTCTAGGCTTATCGAATGGATCGGTGATGTTTGCTCCGATGCACGCTGAATTGTCTAGGCGCCTTCAGTATGCAGCGCTTGGAGATGATGCAATTCTCCCCAATGTCCACACAGGATCCTGTCTTTTCGCCGATGCAGGATTCAGGATGCTGGTGCACGTTCCAGGTAAGGGATTCATCAACCATTCGGGAAGTGTATTGGCTCGTTTGCAAAGGGGAAGTGCAGGTTGCCCAAGTAATCAAATTGGGTGTCTTTTTTGAGCGACCTTTTGTGTGGGCTTTAGGGGAAATCCAAAAGGAAAACACCAATTCGGGGGATTCCCTAGACCCAAATGGACAAACCAAGAATCAGCTACTGTATCGCACCTTTTGGCGACCTTGCAGGAAGTGGTCGCCACAACTATCCTTGGAGGGTGCATCTCCAGCAAATCTCTGATTGTTGGGTGTCTTTGGTCTGAGTCAGAGGTCTCTGGTTTTGAGTACCGCATGCAACTCTCGCGCTCAACATTGGTAGATCGAAACGATGAAGCATCCACGTGTCTTCTTTATACAAATCTCGTGACAGCATTATCACGAGCATATCACGATCAAGCTTCTCGAAGCAACTCCAGCACCCCTGCCTATCTGCGCCGCACACACGATGCTCTTCGCGCCAACAGTCACATAGTCTCCGATGCTCATGGGGAAGAACGCAATATTTCCCTGGCAAGTTTAATTTCAGCTGGGCTTGCCACAAGCAACTCTTGACAGCCCCCTGCGTCAGATCAGCACAGCAAGCCATACTTCTCTGCACTAAAGTCGGGCTTGCTCTTGGGGCTGTTCTTCCAAACATACTTTGTGAAGTCCCTATCAGCATCTGCTTGCAGTGTGCCCTTGCTGCAATGCCTAGACCTCGCCTTGTACTTCTTGTAAGATGGCCTGAGGACGCAGTTCTCGCCGATGATGACGTACTTGCCTGCAGGGTGAAGCGATGCAAGACACACCGAAAGTCTCCACGAGGCTCATGTCGCCTGTTTGCTGCGATTGCATCACAACTTTAAAAGCTCCATTCACTGCATGAGATCCATGCCATGTCGTTGCTCTTTTGCCATACTATTCTGAGAACTGACAGCCTTCCATTGCTTGTTCGCCTGGAACCAATGAGAAACTAATTCCAGCAGATTCAATTCACTCTAGAACCAACCAGCCATAATTATTTCAACAAAAAAAACATCTTCACTTCAGCCAATGGAAACGCATCGCGAGTGCCCCGGCCGATCTTCAAGAGTTGCAGGTCACCCCGCAAAACGACTCCAGGCCTGGGCTCTTAGGCTCGACGTGAGTTGGTGCGGTTCGGCCAATGGGATTTCTGTGGGCAAACAATTGGGGCACTTTGGAGTTTATTTCCCTCAGAGACAGGAGGGAAGGGCCAGAGGTCTGGTTGTTTGGCTTCCTCTCACACCGGGATTCATCTTGGTCTGGGCGTCCGGCTTTACCACCGAGTTGCCGACCAAGGAAATGTTCTGAGAGCCGCAAAGGACGGAGCCTCTGCTCACCTACGTCTCGCATCATTTCGCCCGGATGAAAACACGACACTTGCGAGGCAATCGTGTGTATGGCACAACGAGGGAGCAACCGCTTCGCGAAACTGAGGGATAGCCCCAAACGTCTGTAAGACTGTGGCGCATTCTCAGAGGGCCAACCGAGTTCATTCACCAAAGCCGAACAGCGTCGGTCAAGCCTTTGCTCATATGGCCCATCCGGCCTTGTTCCCGGAGGCGGTCTGTATGTACTCAGCCTGTCATTGCCGAACGTGTTCAAGTCTTTTGGTGTTCTTTTTGTTTTTAAGTAGCCTCTTGAGGCCGATCGAGCCACAGCTGAGCGGGGCAACAACAAAGTCAAGACATATTCGTAAACGGGCGTCGGCCAATTCGACCAATGTGCATGGGTATTTGGGTATGGGTCAAAATTAAACAACCAGGAATTTGACCGCAGGTTTTAGTGCTTGGTTCCATTGGCCAGGGCTCGATTTTGTGTGCCCTTTTTTGACCCACAGCCATTTATGCGCGGGAGTATGCTGGCTGAGGCCACCCTCACAAAGCATGTGAGCAACGATCAAGATGAAAAAGGTCCACTGTAGACCACCAAAGTAAGAAATGGAGGCATAACCCCACCAAACTCCAATGTCATCGGGGCACACCAATACATCGGAGTTGCTTAAATTAGGGGAACCCACCAGAATAGTTGGTTTTCGTTTGGCTTCCCTTTGAAATCCGCCAAAAGGGGATCCCTTGAAAACGACACGCCACGTGTTTAATCACCGTGGCTGCGGCAGTCGCCCTCCCTCGGACAGCTAGCTCCTGCCTTGTTGTAGTAGATGGGAGGCGCTTCCAGGTCAAGCGCCAAGCCTCAAACTCGAAGGTCCCTTTCGAACATTAAAACACACAGGTTGGCGCAGGGTGCAAAGTTTTTCTAAGGATTCTTCCCTGATCTTCCACACCAATCTCCCGCAACCGGAGCCTTCTGCCCTCAAGCCGCAGAAGATAACACGGGGTCTGCGAACCGAAACCGCCGCGGAACTGCAAATTTCAGGGGGGCTCGCTCCAACTCAGTCGGGCTACCCAAAGGTGAGTTTGGTTTCCTCACAGTTTGCCAAACTGATCTTCAACAAAGCGGCTCAGATCTATCGAACGCCAAAGCGGCTCAACTCATCGAGCGGCGGCCCCTCTGCCATAGCGCGGCTGCACGCACGTGGCTACCTCGTGAACATGGCTCCACTTGTCCTTTTGCAGGGCATGATATCGACATGTATACTTGGCCCGGCTCTGGGGTGCACCAAAAAATCCAGTCTGATTCATATCCAGCCTACATAACAGTTGTAAAAGTAGTTTTGGTGGCGACGCCAGTATAAGGATATGTCCTATTTCCTAATTTGCTGCTAGACTTCGCCGGCACTCTCCTAATCTATGTCTGGTCGAACAGGATGTTCTGCACCTTGGCGTCTCATGAAGTGCCTCTTGGCTCGTGCCTTATCAATCTTTGACCTTCAGCGAGCTCGAGCATTCAGTTGCACGCAACCGCCGAACAAAAAACTGCGCGGCTGGACATTTGCTTGCGCCTCTTTTGTATCCACAAACTGTCCTGGCAAACTTTGGCCGGGCTTAAGTACAAGCGGGCCTCGTGTCACAAGCCCATCTCAGCACAAATATCCAGGTAGGCGGGCGACCTGGGCCATTTTTGTCGGCCATTGCGAAGAATGGAGAGCCCCATCCCTAGCAAAACAAAGATGAGACATGCCAATCGCCAAATCCATGATGTTAAAGCTTCCCAGCACGTCCGAGTCAAGCTGCTCCCGCACGTGCTTCACTTGCCCAACGTAACTCAAAGCAAAAGGTGATCCTGTTTTCTACCTTGAAGAAAACTGGTCCAACACTAACAGGTCCGGGTTCAGCCAACTTTTTGAAGCCATGGCCTAGTTCGTTTAAACAAATAGCCTTGGTCAAACAGGATTGAAGGATACATCCAAAACCCAAGGAAGTCCTCTCAATGAGCTGGTTACACAAATCCTTCAACTTGCCCCAGCTATCCTTTAAGGAATTCTGTTGGGGCTGTCCTCAAAAAAGGGGACAGACACAACCATTTTCCCAAGCCTAACAAACCGCTAGGGTTCTTTGCACATCCTCATTCAAACACATGGGGGTTGATCAGAACGTCCTTTATATAGAATGACCATTGGTTGGGAAACCACTCAGATGGGACATCTCAGCCACATCGGAACAGTTACCCCTGGTGGGGGCACCAACCCCCACATGACAGCAACGGTGTCCTGTTGGTAAACTGGACGTGTTTCAACTTGGAAAATGGATGGCATACCACCTATTCAACTAAACCAGGGGTTAACCCAGCTTCATTTGAGTCATAGTCAAAAACCGTGTAAAGAAGTGAGAAGGCGGCCGCAGCAATTTATGGTTGGGGATTGTCCCTTACTACCCTGCATCTACCCGGGCTTTGATTGGCTCATTTGAACACCACAAATTAACATGGAACCTGATAAAAGGGAAATGGTCTTGCAGGACCCCGTGCTCAAAAAAATGACACCCCCAGTGGCTGTTGTTCACCCCGTCGGCCCGTCGGACACCCATCCCAAGGCCAAACAAAACCTGGGCTTCTGCGCCATCGCCCATCCGGCTCCTGCACCTGAAGCGTCTCTGCGGCCTACGGTGAAGCTGGGGCTCGGATTTCTGTTGGAGCTGGTACCCAATTTTTGTGGGGCTTCAAAGGGAAACCTGAAGGACAACCGACATGTTCTTCTTTTCTCTTATGTCTTCTTCTGTTTTCTTTTGTGGGATCCCCTAAAGAACAGGTGGACCCACCTTTTTTCGGTTTCAAACGGCCTTGGGAAACCTACAGCGGCAAGTGACCAGTGACCTGGCAAGGACAGATCCGTCCTGTGATCTGGAAGCGGATCGGGGTCGGATGGACGGCTTACCTTTGGCTTCACTTAAACCCAAAACAGGCTATCCTCAGCAAAGGACACAGCCATATTTGTGACAGCTTTTGAGTCTGAAGTCTGGGCCCGCGACCGGTTGGCCCTTTGGCTCGCCCAGCGAGCACACGAGCGCCACCTAACGAAATCTGTGGTCTCAAGCCAGTCAATTTGAGTATCAAAATAGGGGGACCCAACTAATGGCTTTTTTGTGGTTTCCCTTTGTGCTAAAGGACTCATTGTCGGCAAGTGTCTGAGCCTCCTGACATTCTGGACCCATTTCGACTCCCCTCCTTATGCCACCAAGCACTTCGGGCATTGAGAATGGAAACTTGGGGAGGGGTCTACTAAAGATCCCCTCATTCCACACATTTCCAGGGAAAATCATCGCTGCTGCGTCCAACGCGCGCTCAGCGCGCGGCACTCTTGCAGTTCCCCCGCCACAGCACATCCACCCTCCGCCGGATGGCAAATCGGCACCTGGCTGCGGGTTGCTACCCATCAGTTTCTCCCACCACGGCAATGAAGGGAGGGAAATGCTCTTCCTTCCCGCTTTTGGTCCTTTTCTAGTTTTAATATTCTACAGGGGCGGATCCGCAGATTCGCCACATCCAAACCGTTTTCTAAAATACGGTAGACAGCGACGTCAAGTGAAGCAGGGCCAATTCGTTTCTGCCTCTCCAGCGCCGCCAGCACGTCGGACATTCGCGGAGTGGCGTGGATCTGGCGAACAAGGATACGTGAACAATCCAAGCTCTCTGAGTTGGATGCGATTTGTGACATAGATCTCCTGGTCAACCTCCTGCAATAATCAGGCTCAACATCTTGCTGGGCGTAAGATTGAGTTACAGTACTGGGCTGAACGATTAGGGTTGGACTATTTGTACTTTTGAGTGTTCATGCCTTCTTGCGGATGGTCAGTACCATGGTTACTGCCCAATTGCCACTCGCTGTACACAAGAAACCTCCTACACCCTGTCAAATCAACTTCTCTTGTCTGGCTCCCTGCTTCATGGACCCTGATTGCAGCGAGAGGTCAAATTTCAACCGGGAGCCCTTGGAAATTTGTAGCCGATACTCCTGTGTCACCTTTGCATATCCTCCGAAAGGTCAACATGCAAGCTATTAAGCACCAAAAGGGGAGGCATCTGGGTTGTCTTGAGTCCCATGAATCGTGTAATGCTCAATCAATTCACATCTTGGTGTTAATTGCAGGAAAAAGGCATCACAGGTGACACCCTCGGAAGAGCAACCGACTCCGCTCGCTGAGGCCCCTGCTAGGCAAAAGCTAGCACCGGGTGCCATCGTGTGAGCTGCAGCCTTGCAAATCAGACCAGCGAAACAGGGTTTGACACGCTTTGCGGTCTGTTTCGCTCGGCCAGAAGGGCCTCCTCGTCGCAGAAGGATTTGCTGCTAGTGGGGGGTGGCCCTTTGTTTTGCACCACAAAGTGCCACAAAGACGGGGCAAACAACAACACGTCAGCTGAAAAATGGTGGTGAACAAGTGAACAGGCAAAAATTGGATACGCACCACCGCCATTCAATCGAACGGGCTGACTGACTAAGAGCAGCGCTGAGCAGAACCTCAAACACTGCGGGCATCACGGTCATGTTGCATGCACGATGGCTCGATGCAGATCGAGCTGACATGGAAAGCAAAGTGATAAACATCCATAGTAGCAAGAAAGAAACATGTGACAGGTCGTCAAAGTACTGGTCACAATTTTGCACCATTCAACTAGCTTCCTGCAATGTGCGGCAACCAACATGTCAAATTAGTGCTGTGGTTCGCAAATGCGTGGCAACCTGAGATTTTGGTGGTATAAATATTGAGGAGCGGGAACAAAATCAGGCGAGAGGTCTACTTGACGGCAGAACGCAATTTCAGCCACTCAACGGTTACGAAGGTTTATTGTTAGAGCACGCCGTACCCAGGTTTGCCATATCCCGTTGGATGCTATGGGACCTAAGCTTACCTGTGGACGAGAAACCTTAGCTCAGCGCTGCAAGACACCACCGCGCAGCTCGTGGCGACAGTGGGCCTGCGACAGCTCGTAGCGTTCCAATAGCTCGGACGCCAAAACAAAAAGCCGATGGAGGTCCCACATCCCATCGAAAATGCAAAAAACGTTTAACGAAACAGCAAGCTTGCCTCTTTCAGCAAAATAAGTCTGGCTATCATCTCTCGTGTTTTGTAGCCCATTCAAAACGCCTGCCTTCTGCTGGTTCTTTGGCAGGTTGCCGCAGGTGCTGGTGAAGTATCTCGGGACACGGAGGCTACGGACCAACGGTTTGCTGGTCTCCAAACGTCTTTTTCAGTAGAGCATGCGCTTGACCCCCTGCTGCCTGGCTTCCTCCTCGAACAGACATCACCAGCCTCTTCAGAATTGGACAATTTATGATTGTGTGTGTTGCACTTGGATCCACAAGCCAGAAGCGCGATATGCCGAAGCCTGAACAAACCATGTTCCAATGGTGAGGTCAAAGATGCAGCTTCCATGAGTGGCGCCAAAAGAACTAATGCGAATCTGCCCATCCCAAGGTCTTGGGTCGCCTTGCAAGGTCCAAAGGGAAGTCAGAGCCTTGACCATCGATTTCGCTAACTATTTGTGGCTTTGCACAAATCAGATCGCCATTCCTCTCAGCGAGACACATTGACTCAGGGCCTCAATGCATGCAGTTACCATCTGAACCATGGCTAAAATCATGCGCTTCCCCTAGAGAACATGGGACATGCAGTGAGTCCCCTGTTTGTGCTTGGAAACTTAGAGCTCATCCCTCATGTCCCAAAGAACAAACACCCACCATCCGGACATGTTCAGGCTTTCGTCTTGAGCATCTGGCGGCGGGTTGGCAGTGACCACGTCGAAATTCTTGCCCAGGGCCTCAAGATGGAGAGTCAAAAGGATCCGACCGCCAAGGATGAAGTTGCTGGCTGAGAATAGAACATGAAGGAAACGAAAAGGCCAAAGGGCTAACACATATCTGTTGAGCCCAGCGACGAGAATAGAGGAGTCCACCCAAAGCCACGATATGCGAAGAAGAATCAAAAGGGTCGCCATACTCGGCCGTACCTGTCTATGGTTGGAACCATCCCACTGATCTTCACCTTAGGTTACATCAAGTAGCTGAAGTCTCAAGCTAAGTTTCTCATTTCATCCAATGCAATCTTGATTGCCCAGTTGAGCAGCGCCCAAAACCTGACTTCTTCCATGCTTCGGAAGCTTTGTATAGGCCTTGCTCTGAACTGGCCTTGGTTTTCTCTCTGCGCCGGACATGCAGCACGGACTGATCTCTGAGGTCACCATGCCTCAAGCGGCCGGCTGATTGCTGACTTCACATTGGATGCCACTGGACTCACTTCACATTGGGCTTGCTTTTTATCATCGAGTCAGAACTTGCTTGTTGAATGAGCAACTCTGCGCGTTCTGGCAATAAGAGCAGAAAGGGCCCAGTCACCTTACAATTGAATGGCAAAACTCGGCACCCACCAGGCTGGCCTCAAGTCAACGACGTCTTCCACCTGCGGGGAAGAAACTCGCAAGGGATGCCGACATGAAGCCAGCCAATTTTTCCGGTGTCTAGCCCCCAAAGGCCCCCCCAATCCCAATAGGGATTGAGAGTGCCTAGTAGTGTTCGAATAAGGTCCATTTGGGGTCCAGTATTGGCCCGTTGCTGAAAGATTGATTCCACTGCTGGGGGCCCCAGTGAACCATCGGAATCTTGACTCTACCGCCCGTATGCAGTAGAGCAAGAAAAAGTATTGGATGATTGGCACGCACACTGGGCATTCAACAATCAAGTCACGTTGTCTTCGAGGGAAGTGAACAGTCCCATTGCGTTCCTCAAATGGATGACTCACTGAACACAATGCTGACAAATCTTCAAGATGCTCTCGGGCATCTGAGTCATCCCCATGCCGCTTTTCGTGACAAGGGGAAACTTCAAATGCAGTGAAACTGCAAAAACACATTACAATGTGATCCAGGCACGATATGAGTCGTCGAAATTTGGCTTGTCAAACAAAGCGTCAACAAAGGCAAATACATTGGATAAACGCCCAATTGTGGAGACCAGCCAAGCAGGCGCAGGGGGCAGAGGATTGACCAAGCGAGGAAATCAATTTGCTTCTGTCACAAATTTGTTCAGTTGATCTGCCTCTGGATGTTGCCTAATGGTATCTTTGCACGAAACGATCAAACGTGCGACATTCGATTCGAACCATAAATCATAATGGGTAATACTGTGGATGCCCTCGGTCTGTCAAACTAGCCGGAATTCATCGGGGATGCTGTCAACAGGGAAGCAACATCATCAACTCTTCACATGTCAGTGCCACTGAACAAAGAGCTTCTTAACATCGGCATGAGTTACAAGGCTCAAAAGGGTTGGGTTACATAAGTTTGACACCTACCTAGATAGCCAAGTTGCTGCTTTGCTCCGTCACTGTTCCTGGTTTTTGGATGGTAAAGTGGCTGGAAAAAAGCGATCGCAACGGGCGATCCAGGTACCCATTCAGATCCAAGTGGAGTGTCCTTTACCGACGCGCTTTCAACTCGCGAAATCTGCGGATCCGAGCCTGGCACTGCCTCAGCGTCCTGCGGCACAGGGCCACGCTCACCTCCTGGGCCTATCCGACGGATGGCGTCCAAGGGGGTGGTGGGTGAGGGTTTTGGGATAGGCTTTGGGTTGTTTAGGGCTGTCTTGTTTGTTTGTGTTTTCTCTATTGAGGCGGGGTTTAGGGTTTTAGGGTTTCCGCTTCGTTTCGGGGGTTGCGCCGCGTTGGCTCAATTGGACGATGTTCAAATGTTTCATAAAAAAGACTGCCCTACTCACTTCCGATCGAGTGGATGGCCCACAAAAAGTATTTATTATTTTCGTGCAAGCCACTCAAATGGTCCAAACCCAAAAAGTTTCAACTCCACGAACTCAGGGAGTGAGAATATCCGAACTGGAAAACAACTCAACATTTCCAAGTGCGTGTGAATATCGGAGGGACTTATTCTTAGCTTCTGCCAGGTGTAAGCTTGATTTTGCCGAAACTGAGTGCGATGACATTTGAGCCACACTCAAAACTGGTATCAAAGTGGTCCACCCAAATCCAGGTGGATATTCCAATACAAGGGTGATTTGTTGTTGAGACTACCCGCTACTTCCAGCCAATTCTCAGGGACTTGATATGCCTGATCCCACTACAGCAACAAGGCCTTGCTCTTAGGCACAAGCGTTTCCGAGTTCTTGAGCACAACGGCACTTGGGCACTTCCAGCGAAGCAAGATGCCAAGCTGACTTGATCTCCGCAATCCACTAATCTCATCAATGTTCATGATTCAGTCTGCGACTATGTGCGCACCCTTCATTGTGGTTGTGAAGGGAAGCTGAACTTGGTCTCCGAAGTTTGAATGTCAACAGGTGGAACTGTCCAACATTGCGGTGTTGCCACCTGGGTCGGGGAACGAAAGGAAACTCGGGCAATGGCCTTTGATCCCCCGACTTTCGGCTTTTTCTGGTTGAACGGTTCGCCTCCAGCATGCTACAGGCGGCCCCCGGGTTCTGCGCAAGCCAGGCCAAGCCTGAATCGAGAACTCGACTGCCAACCTGTTTTTGGTCACCCTTGGCTCCTGCTGTGGGCTGTGGCTTGGGAAGCTCACCAGACCTGCCATCATTTTTGGAGCTGTCTCCCTTCGTTGGCCTTGTCTAGTCTAGCACAGTCGGATAACTTTAGACGGTTGTCCCATGGTTTGGATTGGATTATCAGGAGGCTTGGGTTTACCCCGCCAAGGAGTCAACACTCGACCCCACCAATGGGAGCGCGGCCAGCCCTACAGCTGAATCCAACAAGGTCCTGAGACCAGACCAGACCTTTCCCTCCCCCCCTCCAAAAGCACCACTTGGCAAAGACAAAAGACCAGACCTTTTGATTTGACCACCATCACCAAAGAATTCGGTTTCCCATGTCCAAAACCCCAAGTAATTGAAGTGACCAAAAAAAGCAGTGGTTGGATCCAGGGTGCTGCCTCAGCGTTGGCCCTATGGCGGCTTCCTTCGCTGGATCCATGTCCGGGTGACCCTGCCGATGGTGCCAATGCCGGAGCCGAGGTCCAGCCTAGCTGTCGCTTCGGTGGTTTGGAGGTCTTCCGAGAATGGACCTGAATGGTCCTTTCCTTGAGGGTACACCAACAAACCATGAAAGTCCCTCTTTCCTTTCGGAAAGAGTGCCTGTGCACTTCCATTCTTGTCGGGAGGATACCCGCGAACCATTTGCAGGTTCCGGCATATTCAAACATACCCGCATTCTTGGGCACAAACCGGCTCAAAGATTCCTGTTTTCCTGGGATGACGAAGAACCGCGGAAGAATCCCCGAAAACTCCCACAAACTCCGGTTGAAGAAAACCCATGGGCGTGCGCCAGGAAAATGCTCATCCGAATCCGATTTGGTTTCCTTTCAGGGAACCCCAATAGGTTCATTCCCGAAAGCCTGACTCGGTCATTCCCTACCCATCTCACCAGCACGACCGAGTCAATATGTTTACTTGCGCCTGTGCGTGGGACAAGATTTGCAATCATGGAGTGGCAAAAACGAGCGTTGCCTTTGGTCAAGCTATCGGCCCAGTTTTGTCAGTCAGCCAGTCAGCCAGTCAGTCAGTCAGTCAGCCAGCCAGCCAGCCAGTCAGTCAGTCAGTCAGTCAGTCAGTCAGTCAGTCAGTCAGTCAGTCAGTCAGTCAGTCAGTCAGTCAGTGCGGGCTATCTGATATGGTTGACACAGTCAGGTCATTGATCAGTCTGAACACATCCTTTTAAGACCAACCCCTGCCATGGGCGAGCCGCGAGCGGCTCAAGTCAGGAAGCGAGCCCGCGTCGCGAGACTGAGCGCTGGGCATTCGCTTTGCCTCCGGTGCGGCTTTGCAGGCAAGGTAGGCGCACAGAATGTCATCCGCGCAGTATCTGTAGCCCTCGCGTGCAGCGGAGCTAGGGGAATCAACACACGTCTCCAGCACCCCGAATCCAACCACTGCTTTTTGGTGGTACCTGGGATTTTGGACATGGTGGAAAAAGCAGTTGTTGGGACCCAGGCGCTGTCTGAATCATCGTCCTTTGTCTAAGCGATGCGAAGGGCGATTGGATGCGATGGATCTATTTACATGGCGTGAAAACTAAGTACCTGTCCCTCCTTTTTGCCATGCTCATGATTTCGCCCCAAAGGTCCATGTTTCATGTCTCTGGGATTGCTCAAGAAACACTGGTCGGATCCGCATGCCCCGCTCAGTTGGAGGTGAGCTCCGTGGACGAATGCCGCATATCCACCTCCAAATGCCGCCGCAGGCCTCGGAGCTTTATTGAGGGGTCAAAACGTCTCGGAAGCTCGCGGAAATGAAAAAGCTTGGTTTAGGGCTTAACACATCTCGGACATTTTCACCAGACCAAAAAAGCTGGGTTCAAGTTTAGGTACGACAACAAGTAATTCGCGCTTTTGGGCTGAAAGACCAATGCGGTTCGGGCCTGGCTTCACCGGTAACCCTTGGGGGGATCTGGGGTGGCCTGTAGGTACCAATTTGGACTGGGACCATCCTTTCGGAGAGCTGATAAACCAAATTGGGGTCCAAAAAGGGCGGCCCTGGAAACCGTGTACCATGGGATGAGAGACTTTGCAAAGGGTTAAAGGGTTCCAGACTCGGACGTCGTGAAAAGGCCCCAAAACGTCCACTTCCATTGCTGGAAAGAGGGTACCAGTAGATTGCAACAAACCAGGTCCAGCATAAAACAGAGATATCCGAATCTAATACTTGGATGCGTATGGCTGTATCTATCTCTCTATATCAGGCACATTGTCCTGGGAGGTATTTGGCACATTGAGGAGCCTTTCTTGAATACTTTTGACTCGGGGCGTGTCTATTCAGAGACTTGTTGTAAAAACAAATCTGGAAGCCCCGGGCGTCAAGCTCAAACTCCTTCACACAGTGCAGAGTTCCGATTCAATTTTCTTAGCCAAGATCACAGCACGTCGCCCTGAGTAAACTCCATGGCATTTTGACTCTGGAGAAAACACGAGCGACAACTGAACTCACCTCCAAACGGTCAGGGCTCGAATTGGGCTCAAATCGCGGCCGCTGTTCAAGAGAAGATCCCGGAGCCGTTTGACAAACTCTCGCGGCGTCAGACATGCACCAAGAAAGAAGCCTTTGCAAATCCTTTGGGTGCCATCATTCCACTTGGGCCTCGTACGAAAGGGGGTCCACGTATCCCCTCCTTCCTAAACCGTCCCGAAACCAATCCTAAGCCTTCCTCAAACCCATCTGAGTCGTGTTTCGCACAGGCTCCCAAGAGGGTGCGTCCAAAAAACGCCAGCATCCAGCTGCGCAACCGTATCTGGGTACTGAACAAGGGCTTGGAAAGACTAAACCAAATACAAATCCCCTTTTGGTTTCCCTTTGAGCAAAGCTTATGGGCTATTTCGCACCCTATTTAGCACCCTAGCGCGTGTCCCGTTTCGATCCTTTTTGGGCTGGTTGAGTTTGAAGGGGAAGCCTTCACCAAAAAGGAAAAAAGAAAGAAACAAACTCCGCCCACTTCCCCAAAACAGAGGGAATGTCTGTTTTCCCCGCTGGTTGAAACTGGGAAAGAGCTTCACTGGGGCCGCGGCTCGCTTGGATGGCCTCGTGGGCATCTGGCGCCAGGCACTCTAAGGGCCCTGGGTCCTCTGCCCACATCACCAGCAGCGCCTGTGGAGCGCTCGCGCCGGAGTCCACGTCTGGCACCCCCAAAAGATAGAGCCCACAATTTCGAGCGAAGCTTTGGGCAGCACCAACCCATGCTGACTTTGGGTTCTAAGATGGTACAGCTTCGCAGAGGCCCTACCCCCTTGAAGTCGGATGCCACCTGCGAATATGTTGTAATTAGGGGGGAAAGGTCTGAAATGTAACTTACATGTTGGAAGTCTCTGCGGATTTCCCTTTGAACCACCCAATTCCCATGGACGGATTCTCCAGATGTGCAACCCAACCATTAAAAAACTGGCTTTTGGCTTTAACACTACCCCAAGGAGGCACCTGAAGAAAAAACACAAGAAACTGAAGACGAACGTGGATTGACGCGCACACACACACAACACACTCACACTCCAGCCGTTTCACTCTTGCTGGCTTTGGCAGGAAACGGTGGCTTGAACAACCCACTTGCCGACATTTCACCACGTCATCACAAAACAACTGCTGGCAATCATCTTAGTGGCTTGACCGAGCGGGCACCCTTTTGGCAAGGGGGGCGCCAGGCAGCTTTAGGATGTCCTGCGGTTTGGGCTTTGGGGATACGAATCCTCGAGTCCCACAAGAATCAATGGCCACGCATTTGAGGGGCTCCAGACATCGGACCGCCTTGAAGCCGGTCTTGGCCACGCTGAGGACCTCGGACACAAAATGTGAGCTACGCTCTAAAAATTACCGCGGGCTTCCCCAAAAGACATGAGGAAATTGGTGAGCCCCCCGGTTTTCGTGGGGGAAAATGACTGACATGTCCCAAATGTCGGATAAACTACTGAACATTTTGAACCTCATATCACTTTGCCTATGATTGGTAGGCCTGATGAATGTCGACTCCAGAATCCTAAGCCTAGCGGATTCATTACGGGGTGTCCGGCAAAAGTGATTCTCTGACCTCTCCAAGTAGTTCTGTCTGGACAAACACCCCATGAATCAGCCAGAGGGTCATTCTTGCTAGGTTTCCATCAGGACTGTCCTTGTTGGGATAGAGCGATAGAGAGAAGGGAGATGTATCCTCCAGATCCATCTTGGGAAAGTGATAGGCAAGAGAAAGGAGATCACCTCACTCCGATGTAACCGGAATTCTGAGAATAGGAGGCAGAAAAGACCAGGATGCCAGATGGAACTTTCACGGACCAGACATATCTGACCTATAGTGCGTCAAAACCTTCTTGGTGCCAACTTTTCGAGAAAGCTGGCTTTTGCGCACGTCACTTGTCGGACTTGGTGGTGCGTTACATGTTTCTGTTGATGTGGTCGGAAGCAGAGCCGCCTATCATCCCTAGGGCGCAAGAGCAGCGAATGGCACAGCCTGACTGATCTTTGGACTACCGGCTCAGGCTCAGCAACCTGATTCAAAGAGTGGGGGTCCCTCCCTTCTCTGGTGGAGTGTAATCCCTAGTCACTACCACGAGGGAAGCCATGACCATCTGGCATGATTAAGGATTCATGTCGAGCCCAGCAACTACCAAAGAGGGGTTTTCAAGATAAGAATCCCCTAAAATGGCAATGGAATCCTTGTGGTTTCTGAAGTCATGGCTTGGGCTCTTTGTTTGATCCACTCGATGAGCTGAGGTCATATAGAAGTCTTTACATTACATGTCTGCACCCCCTGTGCAGCAAAGGCTCTCACAGCCTGAGGTGCATTTCACCTCTAGAACAAGAGAGCTCTATGACCTGTGCTGTCACTCAGCTCATCGCCCAGCCGGGCAAGATGCACGATGTCTGGTTCACCTTTCCGGGGTTTTCTCCACCTTGAGCTCTTTCTCTGCCACCCGGTCCTGAAGCCAAAGGAACCGGGCTTGCGCATGCCGCGTCTTGCCGAAACCCTTCCTCTCAGCACGTTCCGCACAAACTTGGCCAAAGTGGCCGTTCTGCACATGCCGTAGTACGCGCTCTCGCAGCTGCTCAGCGCAACGATCTTCTGCAACACACCTCGCGCCATCAAGAACTCAGCACTTTTACTGCATGGCCCAAGTCTGGTCGATCCTGATTCAAATAGGCCAGGCACATCACCATGCTTCTGCAGTCCACCGCCTGCTCCTCATTCAACTTGGGCGTGCGCTCCTTTGCCATTCTCTCAGCTCTCCGGGATGTCCACGCCCTTGATCTTCTGGTTGAAGCCGAAATGCCGCATCACAATCTCCAAGTGCCTCGCGTTTGCCTCCAACTCCAACTTCCATCCAGCCGCATCATCGAGCTTGTAGCGGACCTTCCTGTTCAAAAAGAACATTTGATTGTCGTCCTCCTCGTCGCGGCAGCTCCACGCACAATTCTCCTTCCGCACGCCCCATAAAATGGGCCCGATATCCCAGCATGCCATTTTGGCATCTGGCTCTGCTGGATCATCCGTCATGGACAAGCTCAACAGCAGGTTCACAACCTCCAACTAAGGGGTCACCGCGAACGTCTCCTCTGCTCGCAACCTCTCCTCTGATCTCTTCGCCTTCTTGATCTCCTTCGCCACCGAGCGACTCCTCACCTGCATCTTCCTTCTTGGTATCCAGCCACTTCAGCTGCAAGGGCTTCATGCCCTTCTCCTCACAGGTCCTCCTCGAAACCTTGTCGTAGATGCCCTCTTTGCGGAGCCAATCCAGCTCTTCTTTGCGCGCCATTTTCACAAGATGTGCCAGCAACTCCGTCCCGGTCACATCATCCACCCAGAACTGGCCAAACTCCTTCTTGTAGAGCTCCTCCTGCTCGTCATATTCATCCGTAGGGCCCGTCAATTGCCCCACCACTGCGCTGATCTCGCCTGTCTCCTGCAGCTCTCTCCTCGAGCCACGCAAAATCGCCTCTACCAACTCCTTGAAGGTAAGCCTGTGCTGCCTTAGCTCGTCCACCGCCCACCACATGAACACGCCGATGAACTTCCCGACCTCGCGCACGCCCTCCAGCTCTTCAGCGATGCACCTCGGGTTCGTCAGCCACCTCGTCTCCTTTCTCACACGCAACAGCTCGCCTTCATTGTTTTCACAATTTCATGCCAAAACCGGCACATGGCGCTCTGAACCAGGTAGGTGTCCTCCCGGATGAGGCGAGCAGATTATGGAGGCTGCGAGCATTGTGGCCAGTCTCGGAGTGTTGGGTGGGTGCGCTGGAGGTGTTTTCATCTCAGTGTGTGACAAAGGAGTTGAAGCGCTTCGGCGTGCACGACGGAGCGGCGGTGGAATTGGAAGAGCTGAAGCCGGACGGAA